ACACATGGTGAGGAGCAGAGCATCACACCCTCAGTACCAGCAGGGTACACATGGTGAGAAGCAGAGCATCACACCCTCAGTACAGCAGGGTACACATGGTGATGAGCAGAGCATCACACCCTCAGTACAACAAGGTACACATGGTGAGGAGCAGAGCATCACACCCTCAGTACAGCAGGGTACACATGGTGAGGAGCAGAGCATTACACCTTCAGTACAACAAGGTACACATGGTGAGGAGCAGAGCATCACACCCTCAGTACAACAAGGTACACATGGTGAGGAGCAGAGCATCACACTCTCAGTACAACAAGGTACACATGGTGAGGTAGCATGCCTGCAGGGTGTGCAAAGTGATCTGCAGACCGTCTCACCTGCGGTCTATAGAAGCTGAGTGGCGTCCTGGCACAGACGCTGTCGGGATTTTATTCACTCGTGCCACAGCACGAAACTTTCCACCAGCCAAGAACAATGCCGAGCCGGAGACAATGTGTGTTCTGTGTGCAAGTCTGTGCGGAGTACAGAACCAACCCGACTGTGGTCAGGTGCCTCCCCTTCACCTATAAGTATCATACGTGTCTGTGATCTATGCGGAGTGTGTATGATCTGTGCGGAGTGTGTATGACATGTCTGTGATCTATGCGGAGTGTGTATGACATGTCTGTGATCTGTGCGGAGTGTGTATGACATGTCTGTGATCTATGCGGAGTGTGTATGACATGTCTGTGATCTGTGCGGAGTGTGTATGACATGTCTGTGATCTGTGCGGAGTGTGTATGACATGTCTGTGATCTGTGCGGAGTGTGTATGACATGTCTGTGATCTGTGCGGAGTGTGTATGACATGTCTGTGATCTGTGCGGAGTGTGTATGACATGTCTGTGATCTGTGCGGAGTGTGTATGACATGTCTGTGATCTGTGCGGAGTGTGTATGACATGTGCGGAGTGTGTATGACATGTCTATGATCTGTGCGGAGTGTGTATGACATGTCTGTGATCTGTGCGGAGTGTGTATGACATGTCTGTGATCTGTGCGGAGTGTGTATGACATGTCTGTGATCTGTGCGGAGTGTGTATGACATGTCTGTGATCTGTGCGGAGTGTGTATGACATGTCTGTGATCTGTGCGGAGTGTGTATGACATGTCTGTGATCTGTGCGGAGTGTGTATGACATGTCTGTGATCTGTGCGGAGTGTGTATGACATGTCTGTGATCTGTGCGGAGTGTGTATGACATGTCTGTGATCTGTGCGGAGTGTGTATGACATGTCTGTGATCTGTGCGGAGTGTGTATGACATGTCTGTGATCTGTGCGGAGTGTGTATGACATGTCTGTGATCTGTGCGGAGTGTGTATGACATGTCTGTGATCTGTGCGGAGTGTGTATGACATGTCTGTGATCTGTACGGAGTGTGTATGACATGTGCGGAGTGTGTATGACATGTCTATGATCTGTATGGAGTGTGTATGACGTGCGAAGTGTGTATGACATGTCTGTGATCTGTGCGGAGTGTGTATGACATGTGCGGAGTGTGTATGACATGTCTATGATCTGGGCGGAGTGTGTATGACATGTCTGTGATCTGTGCGGAGTGTGTATGACATGTCTGTGATCTGTGCGGAGTGTGTATGATCTGTGCGGAGTGTGTATGACATGTCTGTGATCTGTGCGGAGTGTGTATGATCTGTGCGGAGTGTGTATGACATGTCTGTGATCTGTGCGGAGTGTGTATGACATGTCTGTGATCTATGCGGAGTGTGTATGACATGTCTGTGATCTGTGCGGAGGGTGTATGACATGTCTGTGACATGTGCGGAGTGTGTATGACATGTGCGGAGTGTGTATGACATGTGCGGAGTGTGTATGACATGTGCGGAGTGTGTATGACATGTCTGTGATCTGTGCGGAGTGTGTATGACATGTCTGTGATCTG